CATCGTCCGATCGAATATTAATTAATCGAATGCACTTTCTGTGTCAACGAACTCCGAATCGCATCGACCTGCCTCCAACTATTACTTCTATTTTCGGTGCACGAGTCTTACTCGCACAAATTATTAATTTGCATCAAATTAATTGGTCGTTCACACCGGTCGATGAATAATTAATATAAATCGATTTGGAATTTATTTATCGATTCCCTTATTTGTTTAAACAATGGACGACGTCGTGTACTGACAATCGAAACGTATGTAACGACATATATTTCATATTCGTAATTTATTGATTTATTTAATTTGTTCGAATGACGTACGTGATTGTATAACTGATGGTGACCGAAAGGTACAATCGAAACGTGCAAAATAATAAAAATATTATAAAATTTACTATTATTCGTGAAGACTCATGATGATCGGTAATCTATTATATAAAAATATGCCGGGTTTTCCTTCCTGACGATATAATTCCAGAACGCACGAACCGATTTCGACGATTTTGCATTCGTTGGAAAGGTCTCGGACTCCGCGAGGTTTATAGCAAAGAAAATTCAAGAAAGATTTCAACAGAAAAGCGGAAACTGTTTTTTTTTCACATACAGCGTCATCTCTGAGATATAGCATGCACTACAAACTAATATTTTTTGTTTGACTGCACTCATTGTTCTCTGCTCAGTTAATTTCATGTGACAAACCGGCATTGTGTTCACTGTGAAATTGTAAAAAAAAGTAAAAAAATAAGTTTTATATAAATTTTTTCTATTCATTCCACAACCTTTAAGAATATTAAAAAGCAGTTTTCTTATTGTTATTCTAGTTCACATGACAATTAATCTGGTTTCTATTTAAAGCATCTAAGTGCCCTTCCCGAAAAGTCTATAAAAATTCAAAAAGTATCTTTTTTCGCCTATTTTTGAGCATTTTTCATATACAAAATTTTCCAAGGCTTTTGAATTTCCAGCTCAAAAGCCTTTCTAAATTTCCAATCTTTTGAACGATTCATCATAGGCCTTTGATGTTTTCAGATGAAATATTGTAAATCAAAATCTGTAACAAATTTCTTTGAGATTTTTCACTCATGCAAACATGTGCGTCGCAAGATGCGGTCGCACAGGCAATTTTATGACTTTCTAGGTATAAAATGACCAAAATAAAGTTTAACCCTTTAAAGCAAAATAATTACCCTGATATATCAATATTTTTATTCAATTTCGGGATACAATTTGAGATGTGTGTGCATATTGAAATGCATAAAATAATAACAAGACATATACAAGAGAATGAATCAACACATTTGCAATTCAAAAATAAAAATCAGTTTAAGACAATGCTTTCGGAACATGTCATTAGTTTAAACCATACTTTTAAAATCAATATTCAAGATAAATGCAATTCAAAAAATAAAAATCAGTTTAAGACAATGTTTTCGGAACATATCTAAATTTAAACTATACCTTTAAAATCAATATTCAAGATAAAATAATAAGTAATTTCTTATGTTTTGTGCTCATTTGAATCATAAATACGGAAAATCATCTTAACGGGGTTTTTCTGTGTATTATATAATTTTTCACATTATGTTTCGCAGTTTAATACAATACAAACTGGGTGGGTGTGTATTTCTGTACATATTGCAACCTTTAGGTTATAGTTTCTGAAGGAAATGCAACATTTAGGAGCAAATTCTCGACTAAAAGAAAAATGTTATGGTTATGCTTTGTTACGGGTCTATCTTCGTATGAATTGGTAGGAAAAAGTGTCAAATATGTTATGTAAAAGTCAAGTGTTTGACATATAAAACCTAACTTCACATATGTGTTGGGACATCAGAAAGTTGCACTTATGATAACACCGTGCTTTGACGTATGTGCGTTTTGTAGGTTAGATTTTATGTGTAGGCACAGCAAATGTATAGATTTTTGACAATTTTCACTACCAACTCATAGGAAGATAGAACCTTAATATAACATTACTACTTCATCCGATAATTGTGCCCTTAGTTTTAGTTTCAGACGAACGTTTCGATATCGCTTCTTCAGGCCACACTTTTACACATGTTGTAACTGTACTATTGTTTTATTATAAATATATATATATATATATATATATAAATTTATAATAAAATTTACCGTTGTGTCGTTTTTCAAATTGAAATTCTAAACTTGTATTAATGTTAAGTGCTTGTTTAAATGGTTGTAAGGATGTTACTTATAAGGCGGCACGGTTTTTATTTTATAATTTATACATATATAAATATGTATATACATTTATATACATGTATATATATATATATATATACATATAAAATATAAACTTAGAAAACGACCGGAAAGCACATAAACGGATATAACACTACTGACAATAAATGTGCGTTTGGAATATTAAGTTGGCAATATTTTTTCCATACACCTATATATACATACATACACACACATACACACACATATATATATATATATATCTATATATAATAATTATTTTTTTTATTTTTTTCCAGGTACGGAATGGATTTAAACGGGGCCCGACGCAAAAATGCAACCAGAGAAACGACATCGACCCTGAAGGCCTGGTTAAACGAACACAAGAAAAATCCTTATCCGACCAAAGGCGAAAAAATTATGTTGGCCATCATTACTAAAATGACACTGACACAGGTTAGTCCATGTCTCTGATCCATAAAGAAATATTAGAAATTGAAATATTACGGCAAAGTAAATGATTGTAAAACAAGCATTGGAAGAGTTGTAGATTGTTAATTTTTTCACTTTTGTTTAATTGTTTTCACTTCTAACAATCAATCCTAGTTGTTAGTTTTGATTTTTGACCAATAATCAATTATTAAATTACTTATCCCAAAACTTGTGTCAGGTAGAAAATCATATCATTGTGTATGTATTTTAAAAGTAACAATTTGTTTAATTTATTTATTTTACAATTTCTCAGAAATATTAAATTAATATTATTTACCATTCATAAACAATGTATTTGTTTACAATAATCCCAATTTTTGTTGAAAAATATCAACAAATTTCGAAATAGCAACAAAATTTGCACACAATTGAACTTCTGAATAAAATCTTCAAATCCAAATTTGTGTCACTCGTTTATAAACAAGTGCAATGAAAAACAATTTTTAATTTGACTCATTTATAAACAATATAATTGTTTATAAAAATCCTGATTTTTATTCAAAAATTGCGATAAATTTCGGAGTAACAACAAAAAGTTTCTAACACCTTGCACACATATAACCTTCTAAATAGAACTTACAACCCAATTTTAGACAATTTTATTATAAACAATTGCAATTATAAATAATGTTTTATTTACCTTATTTATAAAGAATATATTTATTCATAAAAATCCAAGGTTTCATTAAAAATATCCAAAAAATTTGGAAATTACAACAAAAATTGTGCACGAAAACACATATTTCTCATATGCCGTCGGTAAAATTCAACGTCCGATAAAATTTGCGTCAGACAGTAGTTACACCAAATAGAGTTATTTGCAAATATTATAATAAATTAAATTTGATATTATTAAAACATTTTGCCTACTGGTAAGTTGCCAAAACTATATTTAGTAACAACATAAATATTGCTTCCACCAAATGGTTCTTTTTATTGAAAAAGAGTGAAGCATTTATGATTTTTTGAATAATACAATAAAGGTATTGCTGATCTTCCTAAAAAATGACCAAAAATAGGCTTGGTTCATACAAATCTAACGAACAAAACGGCTTGACTGATCTTAACAGAAAAACATATATATCATGGTTTTTATAATAATCAAATTTGTTTTTAAATCATATTATCAAAATAGTTTAAAAGATTTAGTATCACGTTAAAAATATGTTTATATTTCCATTATCTAACGATATTTTAGTTAATAATATAAATTACCATATTTAGTGTCAAATTATTTATAATAATTGAGCAATTTGCAATAAATTCACATTAACATTAGCATAGCACATGTTGAAGGATTTTGTGTACGCAAAAATTTAAACAAATAGAGTAATAACAATTATTAATAACAATAAATATAACATTTATAATTAGTGGATAACAACTAGTTTTTGTAGATAAAACTTCGCTGGTAGACTACTACTATTTTTTACCATTTGCATTTGATTTTCAAAACTGTTCAAGCCTAAAAACCCTTGATCGCTTCGGGATACTTTAATTTAGTTTGGACCCCAATACATTTTTTTAAAACAATTTAATGAAAAAACCATTGGACGTACTGAAAGTTTCTAAGGCTCTTTTTCATAATGACTTCAAATATTTCCTAAACCATGCAACCAAATTCAACCAAATTTTAAACAAACATACTCAATACTAATGTTTACAAATCACTTCAAACCAAATTTACTAATCTTCCTTCAATTTGGCATTGTCTCTATCCAAACTCTGTAGGAAATACCAATAGCCAAGTTGATTGGTTTGGATTTTTCAAGGCCAAGTCTGCCAAAATCCAAATTCGTTGACCAATTGCAAAAAATTTGAGCCAAGTGGACATGGATCTTATATCGACAATTTGGTTTAATCAGAATTTAGTTGCTGTGACTCTAGTTGATGTTGGTTAGACTCAAAAAGCATCAGAAGTTTGGTTCACTTGGTTGTGTAAGGTTTACTCCAACCAACATAAGTCCTGAATTAAGTTACCAAATGTATTTTGGTAGCACATGTATTGTGATGACATCTATAAATCGCGAGAAGGAAAATTTCTATTCTGAAAAATTACCTTCACCTTCCAATGCACTCAATGTCATTTAACTAGTTCTAAACAAAGTTCACCAAACAATTCCTAAAACTCCTGTTCTAATAGCAGAAATTCCTGTTTGTTTCCAGGTGTCAACGTGGTTTGCAAATGCCAGGAGAAGATTAAAGAAAGAAAACAAAATGACATGGGAACCCAGGAATCGTGTCGACGATGACGATGATGATGAGAGAAACGATGAAAGGAACAACGATGAAAACGATGACAACATGCGAAGTGACGATCGTTTGGACGACAGAGGACCTGGTGATGAAAAACGAGACTGCAAAGGTAAATAGTTGACCACAAACATTTTTATTTTTTATCCAAAAAGAGTAGTTTTCATTGTTATTTATTGTTTCCAGATTCCAAAGATTCCGGGACAGCCTCCTCCGACGACGAAGACCTGACCAACCACCACCGGAACCCGTCCCACTTCATCAACCACCATCAAATGGGTCACCAACTTCACCATCCAAACCATCAACTACCACCAGTCCCGCCAACTTCATCAAGTCTAATGCAGAGTGGCCAAAACCCTCACCTACTCGGCATAAACTCATCGTTCCAGCTTTTCCAAAACCAACTTCTCATCAACAACTCCTTGCTCCTGAATCAGGAAACCGAACGCCAGAAGGAGATAGAATCCAGGGACGAAGTCAAAAGTGATACCAAACTAGAAATGTCAACAAAAAATATACAAAGTGCAAACAAATCCAAAATCTGGTCCTTGGCAGACATGGCGAATAATTCTAGTGATCAGAATCAGGAGTACGCGAAGAAGATTTTGCACCAGAGGTTGGCACAGTATACGAATGCGTATCACAATAGGGATAATTTTGGATTTTTGGAAGCTTATTCTAGGAATATTCAGCATGCTGGACATGCTAGTAATGCAGGAGAAGCCCCAAGTGAGGGATTGGTGCGGCAGCAACAGATTTCGCCTAATTGCTCGTCTAATGATAGTTGTAAACAATAAGAGATTGGAGATTGACCACTAACAAAATGGGATGGATAAAAATCAGTGTAATCAAGACACACTTTACCATATTTGATCAATCCCACCAAGAAGCCTAATCCCAAGAAATAAGCACTAAATCTAAATCTTGAGATGCATTTTGGATGCTGAAAATTGTTTCTACGATTTAAATCTGAAGGTTTAGAGAAACAGATCGACTTTGATCAGTGATTAGAGCGATTGATTAAAAATTAAATTTTGTGAAGTGGGATTGATGTTCAGTGATTTTAACAATAAACAAATACTAAACTAAATAAATACCAATCTCAACAAAAATTAAAATACTAGTGACTGATTTTATAAAAGGACATTTTTCTGGGATAAGTGATTTACACATTAATTTTTGGGGATAAAAACAAAACTAAAACTGGGGATTGATCCGTTAAAGTGCTATCGTCACAAAAGTCAGTGATTTATCCAAAAACAATAAACAGACAATTTTAAAAATAGTTTTGTGAAGTCGTTAATTCAATAAGAGAATTCAATAAATTACAGATTTATGATTATGGGATAAGTGATTTAATCATGATTTTACGTAGTAATCAAAACTAGCAAATGGGATTGATTCTAAAAAGTGCAATGAACAAAAAAAATCAGTGATTTGTATAAAAAAACTTTTAAAAACAGGGTTGGGAATGAATAATTAGACTGAAGTGTAAAAAACGAGTTACCCAAAGTTGAATCATTATAAACATTTGTAAATAAACCTAACACATAACCTCAAAAAACATTTAGTGGGTTAAAAAAGAAGTGGGATTCGATGTTGAAACAGTCATAGTTGTAAAATGTAATTATAATATATATATATATATATAATAATTGTGGTAAATATATCGTATGACCAAAATTTAGTAATATTATTATCAGAATGACAATAATAATCATGTGATCCAAGATTTGCACTAATTTTAAAAATATGCACACACACTTAAATATCAAACCAAATCCAACCCAGTTCCTCTTCATATTTGTTACAAATAATTCAAAATTTAATTCTCTGATTTTAAACTCTTGGAATTCCCCAAGTACGTATACGAAGTCCCATAAATTCATTTCACAAACAAATGAGTCGTATATTATATTTTTTTCTTAATATTCGACGTTTTATTTATTTAAATTTTTGTATGTATATGTGTGTGCATATTTTATTTATTTATCATAAATAGCAAAAATAGCAACAATTTGCAACAAAATTGTAGAGAATTTTAGCGAAATGTAAATAAATTTTCGATGTAAAATTAAAAAAGTTCGATGTTAAAAAAAATAAAAATTAACAAATTTAGTAACAGCAGGGTAATTAATGTAATGTTATTGTTGGAAAAATAAATGGAAGAAAAATGAATTTTGAAACAAAAAATTAGTAAAGTTTTTTTAATCCGCTTTATTTTGTTCAGGTTTATCTGTCGATATACAAAATTTGTGTATATCGATACGTTTTGTTTTTTAAATCCCAAAATTTTTGATAAATTTACTTGAAATTTTAATATGGCATGAACAAAATATGTTCATGAATTGTTTGTTAAACAAATTTGCAAAAAAAATACTTGGAACACAAACAATTTAACGTCAAAGTCAACCAATGTTTAGTCGATTCCGTTCACATTTTGGGTAAAAAACCACACAAAATTCTGCAAAATTATAAACAAA